TACTACTACTACTACTACTACTACTACTACTAACTACTACTAATACTACTACTACTACTACTACTACTACTACTACTACTACTACTACTACTACTACTACTACTACTACTACGACTACTACTACTACTACTATTACTACAACTACTACTACTACTACTACTACTACTACTACTACTACTACTACTACTACTACTACTACTACTACTACTACTACTACTACTACTACTACTACTACTACTACTACTACTACTACTACTACTACTACTACTACTACGACTACGACTACGACTACCAATTACCCTGTGGCGTACCCAACCCATTTGTATCATGGGAAACGAGGAATTGGCCGAAACCTGCATGGACAATCGAATTGCAGGATCCATTGTTTGATATGTAAGCTACATGGGACACGCGCCTATGGCATGATGCGCAGGAGAAGCATGCAAGAACGAGGGGCGACAACTACAGGCTCGAAGAGGACATGGGGAGTCGGGAACGAAGAGCAGGGGAAAGACGCGCGGGAAGCCCACTGTGCTGGGCCCCCCATCAGGCCTCGAAAGTGGCGACACTTTCACAGATCGCAGCCCCCCAGGGATGGCGAGGTCTAATATGAATCCGCGGTCTACCCACTGCGCTGGGCCCCCCAGCAGGCCTCGAAAGTGGCGACGGTTTCACATATCGCAGCCCCCCAGGAAGGCGAGGTCTAGTTTGAGCCTGCGGTGGGTACCCACTGTGCTGAGCCCCCCAGCAAGCCTCGAATGTGGCGACAGTTTCACAGATCGCAGCCCCCCAGGGATGCCGAGGTCTCATTTGAGTCCGCGGTGAGTACCCACTGTGCTGTGCCCCTTCAGCAGCCCTCGAAAGTGGCGACAGCTTCACAGATCGCAGCCCCCCAGGGATGGCAAGGTCTAATATGAGTCCGCGGCGTGCACCCACTGCGCTGCCCCCCCCAGCAGGCCTCGAAAGTGGCGACTGTTTCACAGATCGCAGCCCCCCAGGGATGGCGAGGTCTAGTTTGAGTCAGCGGTGTGTACCCACTGTGCTGGGCCCCCCAGCAGGCCTCGAAAGTGGCAGCAGCTTCACAGATCGCAGCCCCCCAGGGATGGCGAAGTCTAATTGGAGTCCGCGGTGTGTACCCACTGTGCTGGCCCCCCCAGCAGCCCTCGAAAGTGGCGAGAGTTTCACAGATCGCAGCCCCCCAGGGATGGCGAGGTCTAATTTCAGTCAGCGGCGTGCACCCACTGTGCTGGGCCCCCCAGCAGGCCTCGAAAGTGAGTTTCACAAATCGCAGCCCCCCAGGGATGGCGAGGTCTAGTTTGAATCCGCGGTGACTACCCACTGCGCTGGGCCCCCCAGCAGGCCTCGAAAGTGGCGACGGTCTCACAGATCGCAGCCCCCCAGGATGGCGAGGTCTAGCTTGAGCCTGCGGTGGGTACCCACTGTGCTGAGCCCCCCAGCAGGCCTCGAAAGTGGCGACAGCTTCACAGATCGCAGCCCCCCAGGGATGCCGAGGTCTCATGTGAGTCCGCGGTGAGTACCCACTGTGCTGTGCCCCTCAGCAGCCCTCGAAAGTGGCGACAGCTTCACAGATCGCAGCCCCCCAGGGATGGCAAGGTCTAATCTGAGTCCGCGGCGTGCACCACTGCGCTGGGCCCCCCAGCAGGCCTCGAAAGTGGCGACGGTTTCACATATCGCAGCCCCCCAGGATGGCGAGGTCTAGTTTGAGTCAGCGGTGTGTACCCACTGTGCTGAGCCCCCCAGCAGGCCTCGAAAGTGGCGACAGTTTCACAGATCGCAACCCCCCAGGGATGGCGAGGTCTCATTTGCATCCGCCGTGGGTGCCCACTGCGCTGGGCCCCCCAGCAGCCCTCGAAAGTGGCGACAGTTACACAGCTCGCAGCCCCCCAGGGACTGGCGAGTCACATTTGAATCCGCCGTGTGTACCCCTGTGCTGGGCCCCCCAGCAGCCCTCGAAAGTGGCGACAGTTTCACAGATCGCAACCCCCCAGGGATGGCGAGGTCTCATTTGCATCCGCCGTGGGTGCCCACTGCGCTGGGCCCCCCAGCAGCCCTCGAAAGTGGCGACAGTTTCACAGCTCGCAGCCCCCCAGGGATGGCGAGGTCACATTTGAATCCGCCGTGTGTACCCACTGTGCTGGGCCCCCCAGCAGCCCTCGAAAGTGGCGCCAGTTCCACAGATCGCAGCCCCCCCAGGGATGGCGAGGTCCCATTTGAGTCCGCGGTGAGTACCCACTGTGCTGGGCCCCCCAGCAGGCCTCGAAAGTGGCGACAGTTTCACAGCTCGCAGCCCCCCAACGATGGCGAGGTCTAAGTTGAATCCGCCGTGTACCCACTGTGCTGGGCCCCCCAGCAGGCCTCGACAGTGGCGACAGCTTCACAGATCGCAGCCCCCCAGCGATGGCGAGGTCCCATTTGGGTCCGCCGTGTGTACCCACTTTGCTGGGCCCCCCAGCAGGCCTCGAAAGTGGCGACAGTTTCACAGATCGCAGCCCCCCAGGGATGGCGAGGTCTAATTGGAGTCCGCCGTAGGCACCCACTGTGCTGGGCCCCCCAGCAGCCCTCGAAAGTGGCGACAGTTTCACAGATCGCAGCCCCCCCAGGGATGGCGAGGTCCCATTTGAGTCCGCGGTGAGTACCCACTGTGCTGGGCCCCCCAGCAGGCCTCGAAAGTGGCGACAGTTTCACAGCTCGCAGCCCCCCAGGGATGGCGAGGTCTAAGTTGAATCCGCCGTGTGTACCCACTGTGCTGGGCCCCCCAGCAGGCCTCGAAAGTGACGATAGTTTCACAGATCGCAGCCCCCCAGGGATGGCGAGGTCACATGTGAATCCGCCGTGTGTACCCGCTGTGCTGGGCCCCCCAGCAGGCCTCGAAAGTGGCGACAGTTTCACAGATCGCAGCCCCCCAGGGATGGCGAGGAGGTCCCATTTGAATCCGCCGTGTGTACCCACTGTGCTGGGCCCCTCAGCAGCCCTCGAAAGTGGCGATAGTTTCACAGATCGCAGCCCCCCAGCCGGCACGCAGCGACGAGCGAAGCAAAAGGCAAGGGGGAAGAGAGGGGCGGGAAGGAGGCAAGGCGACGCGCGAGCAGTGCTCTATTCATAACGAGAACCCAACGCAGGAGGGTTGGGAATAATGCAACGATTATTACTACGACTACTACCCCTCCTACCACTACTACTCCGACTAGTACAGTACTACTACTACTACTACTACTACTACTACTACTACTACTACTACTACTACTACTACTACTACTACTACTACTACTACTACTACTACTACTACTACTACTACTACTACTACTACTACTACTTACTACGAGTAATAATTACTACTACTACTACTACTACTACTACTTGACTACTCAACGCTACTACTACTGCTACTACTGCTACTAACTACTACTACTTACGAATCTACTACTACTACTACTACTACTACTACTACTACTGCTACTACTACTACTACTACTACTATCACTACTAGTGCTACTGATACTAATACTGCTACTGCTACTGCCACTGCTACTACTACTGCTGCTGCTCCTCCTACTGCTACTACTACAACAACTGCTGCTACTACTGCTACTACTACTGCTACTACTACTACTGCTACTACTACTACTACTACTACTACTACTACTGCGGCCACGACTACGACTACTACTACTACTTCTACTACTACTACTACTACACTACTACTACTGACTACTACTACTCTACTACTACTACTACTACGACTACGACTACGACTACTACTACTACTACTACTACTACTACTACTACTACTACTACTACTACTACTACTACTACTACTACTACTAGCTAGGACTACTACTACTACTACTACTACTACTACTACTACTACTACGACTACTACTACGACTAAAACTACGAAAACTACAACTACTACCACTACAGCTACTACGATTACTCCTACCACTACTACTACAACTACTACTACTACGACTACTACGACTACTACTACTACTACTACTACTACTACTACTACGACTACTACTACTACTACTACTACTACTTCGACTACTTCGACTACTACCCTATTCCGAGCCCGTGGGCGGGTGGAGAAAAGAAGGGCACAGTCCAGCGGCTGGGGGGCCACAGCAGAAAAAAGCCCCCAGCTTTCAGCCGTCCTCGAGGCTGTCAGGCGGCTCCGCGGCCTGCCTAACCTCTCGCAATGCAAGGGTCGCCTTCCTGCCCAGGCCCCTCGCCTGACCCAGAGCAGAAAAACCAAATGCACGCAGCACACCTGCGAGCACCGGGGTCTTTCCAGGACCAGGAGAGGCCGAGGGCGGACCCCCCGACACCGAGGGGGCAACGGCCCCCCCCGCCCGAGGGGCCCCTGGAGGCCGCGGCCCTAAGGCGACCCGACCGCAGCTCCCTTGTGCTCTCTGATGGGGCCCTCGCAGGTCCTATCCGCAGCTTCTTAGCATGATCGGGGTGGCGGCCTTGCCCGACGAAGCCCCCGGTTCCCGCAGCAGCCCCGGACTCGAGAAGCTTCCGATCAGAGCGACAGACCTCTTCCAAAACCTTGGTGACCCACTTGGCGGCCTAGGCCCAACACCCCGAAGAAAAAATGAAAACCGAACTATCCTCCAGAACCTCCGCATCCATCAACCTGCGCCCGCGCACGAGCCACGCTCGATCGGGCGACTCGTCGAGAGGCCGAGGGGAAGGGGGGGGCGGAG